TTAGTAAAAATGGTCAATATGAAAGTTGTATATCTTGATTCAAGCTTTACAAAATGTCCAATAACTTTAAGAGATCATTTTTATCTAGGAGATTTGAATACTTGAAGTTGACATGATAAACTTGAATTATAGGCCATTTTGATGATGAACACATAATCCAATCTTCATGCTATGCTGCATAATCTTGCTTTGCAGTCCTTCTAGCTTACAAATATCACCATAATTAAATGTTTACACAAACTTTTGAGCTATTATCCAAGTGGTTAAGGCATTATCCAATCCATTTTGCCATTTTTGGAAGAAAGGCACCATTGCCATTCACATAAAGCAAGCTTTATACACAATGTCAACTTCTTAAGCCTCTCACTTTTTCCCTCTACACACACTCAACATGTATGCTCAGAAGCAACATGTCTACAGCTCCTAACCACCCTATGAGCCTTTGTACCATTGCATTGGAACCATGCCTTGGCAAATTGCTTCAAAACCATAATATGTGTGATACGGTAGGAGAACTAACTTGGGTGTTTTGTGTTTTATCACAAATGTTACGTATAGCAAGATTCGCCACTGATTTTTATTTTATCCAATGAAGTAAAGGGTGAAAAGAATAGGAAATACCTTTTGAGAATTTTCTTGAGTTCGGGGGGTAGGTTATGAAAAGGGAAGGTGTTAGCACCCCTTTCATCTGTAGTTACCTACGGGCTCTTAATTGCTAGATCACTTTGAAATGCTTTTGTGTTTGTGTAAGTTCGAAGATATTTTTGAAAACGCCTAAGTTTGGAAAACTTTGCAATGATTCTCATATCGTTGAGAATGTATACAAAGTGTTGGTTTTGAAAATATTTGTTGAAAAAGGAGTGTTTGAAAGATATTTTGTAAGGAAATTTTGTAATGATTCTCATATCATTGAGAATGTATACAAAATGTTTGTTTTGAAAGATGTTTTGAAAGTGTGAATTGTGGAAATGATTTTGTTTGTGATCAAGCAATTACGAGCAATCTACCTACTCAAAAAGTGTTTGTTCTTTTCCTCCTCCTTTAAATAGTGCTACTTTACCATTGGTTGGTAGAGAGCCTTATCATTAGATGTGAGGGACGGGCATGGGTCATCGTACAGTCATAGAAGGAAACTTGTAAGATGTTTTAGCAATTGTCGTAAGGGACTAAGATCATTTAGCGAAGGAAGCATTGAAGGATTGTTGAGGGACTTTGATCTTTTAATTGAGTGTCTTTTGCTAAAACATCTCACGTTCGAGGGACATGATTGTTTATATCTGAGGCAACAAGTGTGAGTTACCCTAGAGGTGCATGTGTGCAAGGTATTTTGTTTTCATGTATTTTATCTTTGAATTAGGGTTTTGCTACGGTTGATTTTAGTGTTGTCATGCAAACCCTAATTACTAGCAATAATAAGGAAAGCGATAAATTGCGGAATTTAAATGTCCTACGCTATTACAACGCTTTGGGAATGGGGGATATAATTTTGTGAATAGGGGGCAGAAAGCAATAAAACCCTAATTATTATTACAAACCATTGAATATGAATTACAATAATAATTATGCACAAAAAGTAAAGATGAGGAAGAAGTTGTTTTTAGGGTTTTTGATAGAAAAAAGGTTTAATGTTAACCTAATTAAACTAATTAATTTAATTACAAGAAAAGTTAATTGATTATTAGCAAAGCCTAAATCTAAGTTCATTAAAAAAAAAACTAAGTCTAATTTAATTTTGTTTAGAAAATGATTTTTGTTAAGGTTAATAAAGAAAATGTTCTATAAGAGAAATGATAAAATTTAATTTAATAAAATAAAATATTTACATTAAAATATTTTTGATTTAATTATTTAAGAAAATATATTTTTTATATTTTTGGGTTAAATAAAAAAGATAAATAAATAAATGAAGTATAGGAAATAAAATATAAAGAATATAAAAGTTTTGGGTTGGGTATTAAAAAGTAATTGGAGGGGTAAAAGGTAGGAAACATGGCGCTAGGCCCAAATGTGTTTTTTGTATGAGTCAGAAAAAATAAAAGAAAATAGAATTGGGCCAGTTGGTATGAGAAATAAAGGGGGGTGAAGAGTTAGCAAAAACAAAAAAGAAGGGGCCCAATACTAAGGAGCCCAACGCCTGTTTTGATCATGTGTGGCCAGCTTATTGTGATGTACCATGGACCTACTCATATGGAGTGTTGGATTTATCCTTGTGATGATCATATGGCATTAATACGAGGCTTCATGGTGGACACGTGTGGCCTGTACGCACTAGATCTGCAAAGGAATAATAAGAAAAAAACCAAAAGGGTACCACTGGGGCTCGAACCCAGGTCCCTACACACTAATGCTTTACGCGCGCTTCTCCTGCCACTGGGGTGGCTATTTCATTCGGTCATAATACATGTTGCACTAAATTTAAAATAAACTCAGTCCTAGTTACAACTTCATCTTCTTCCTCGTGCCAACTTCTTCATCATCATTTTTGAATTTTGTAACTTCCTCATCTCTCAACCAAATCAGAAAATGTAAACATGAAACTTGCTCCATTTTTCAATACGAATTCAAGCATATAAATTTCATGAGCTATAAATCAAATATGAATATGAATTTTGTTTGGTACTAAATAAAACCTATTTTTTTTCCAGAAAGTTCATCTTCAAAATTCGCATCACTCAGACAACATAAATGAAATCTAAGGGCATGGTTAGCTTCAGGGCTATGATGTCTACATTTTTTATTTATAAAGTAACCATTAATGAAGCTTGTATAGATAGTTCAAAGTTGAGAAAACTTACCTCAAAACTGGAAATCATGTATGGAGTTTGAGCACTTCTGGAGGTGCGGTGATGATCTGAATAGCTTCACTAGACTCCAAGGAAGTTAATGCAACTCTTACTTTGTGCTGAAAGTGGATGAATCGTACTGGAGAAGTCAATGTGTAGAGCTCTATTTTTGAGTTTGGAAGATGGGGAAGATGGTGTTATAGTTGTGAAACAGGGATGTGGATGAGTTATATTTGATGTATGGAAGCTTTGAGAATGATTTAGAGGGAGAACGCACGAGTGGATTGTGAGATTGAAAATTTTGGCCAGAAATGACAAGTTATGGAGGTTTGGATGAAGTTATGAGTTTGAGGGAGTTCCAGGGTGTTTCAAGGCTTGTGAATCTCTATTTGGCTTGAAAAATAGTGCCTCTATTTATAGGCAAGAGGTTTGAAGGCTTAAAATAATCAGAATCAAGAAATCACATGGTATGACTATATGACTTGTTTTTGAAGCAAACTTAACAAACATTGCCCCAATGTGAAGTACAAAGCAATCTAGAGTACTGAGGGGCTTTAAACATGCTTATCTGATCTTGTATGTTTAATGTGTTCAGAACAAACAAGTTAGAGGCTTAAGACAAGTTGACTTTGTGATTAAAGTAACTTTACAAGAATGGCAATGTTACTTTGTGCCAAAAATGGATGAATCTCTTGGACAATGGCTCAAATGTTTGGATCATAACTCTAACAGTTGTGTAAACAATTAATTATGGAGTGATTTTCAAGTTATAAGCCTTCAAAGCAATATTTATGCAGCATGGCTTGAGATTTGATCAAGTGTTCATCATCAAAATAACCTAAAATTCAAGAATGGATATCCAACTTCTTCTTTTTGATTCTCCTAGCTCAAGCATGATCTCTTCAAGTTCTTGGACATTTTGGAAAGCTTGAAACATTATATACAAACTTCATGTTGACCATATTGGCTAAATAAAATTGGAGCTAGGTGAAAAATTTCCAAGAAGTTGGGACAAAAATCTGCCTAACTTGCCAAAATTTTCACTAAGTGTTTTATGAAAAATGTCATGACTTCATGGGCTTATATCTTCAAATATAAGAATTTTTTGGACATTAACCCTCTAATACAAAGTTGTAGAGTTCATCAAGATATATAACTTTCATGTTGAAAGTTTTCCTTGAATCATCTTGCATTTTGGTGAAAAATTGTCATGAAGTATTGAAATTATCAAGGTTAAAAATACTTAGAAATTTTCTAAGTATGGAATTTTTTGACTTTTTGTGGACTTTCTTGACTTTCTTGATTCTTGATCATCAAGTTTGATATTTTTGAGTATCTTGATGAATCTGGATCTTTGAAACTCAATGTTGATCAAAAAGTCAGAGTTTGACTTTTTGTGTATCAGTTGACTTTTCATTGGTTGATAAAAAATTCAACTATCAGTTGATTTAATCTGAGCCAGCAGATGTTTGAAAATCTTTAACTGAGAGAAGTATCAAAATAAATCTTTGGTCGATTTAATCTGAGCTAGAAAAAGGTCTATTGAGAGAAGTATCAGAGTAAACCTTTGGTCGATTTAATCCGAGTCAGCGGATGTTTGAGAATCTTTAACTGAGAGAAGTACCATAATAAACCTTTGGTCGATTTAATCTGAGCCAAAAAAAGGTCTAATGAGAGAAGTATCAGAATAAACCTTTGGTCGATTTAATCTGAGTCAGCAGATGTTTGAAAATATTTAACTGAGAGAAGTATCAGAATAAATCTTTGGTCGATTTAATCTGATCCAGAAAAAGGTCTACTGGGAGTGTTCATCGTGCAAATATTTGCCTTGTCTTGGTCTACAATCTATTTTGATGATATCTGTCTGTTGATTGATCTTTCCTGAAAAGGTAAGGAGTTAGTTGTATGCAATGTCATGATGTATGAAATGCATTGCGTAATGATGTCCTCAAAATAAATGAGATTGTGCTATATGTGTTTCTTATGCATATGTTATGATGAATGAATGTGCAATGTTGTTGAAGTGTATTTGGCCGAGGACAGACCTCTGTGACGCGGAGCAGTCATCCGACCATAATTGCAAAGTTATGCTCAGATTCGGCGATCCCCATCAAGGGGATAAACATCGTGAAGCAAATGACACATATACTAGTGAAAGGTAAACAAAGTAAGTAAACATTGTAACTAACATCATTTAATTTACAAAGAGACAACCAATTACAACAAATTAGTTATTGCGACAAATTTAAAGAAGCCATGAAAGGCTCGGAGATCAGGAACAAGCAACTCTAGTTGACCCACATTATTCTTGAAGGTAACTTTTCCGAGTTTGTCGTTGGAAATATTCAACAGATGTTTGTTTAAATCATACTGCTCCTCTTGGAAAGCCTCCAACTTCTTAGAATGAGTGATTTTCTTTTCCCCAGGCTCCATCATGACTGACTGGGAAATTGAAGACGAAGCCTCCAACATAAACTTTGCTTCACGGGAACCTTTATTCCCCTATTCAAGAAAACCTTTAAGTTCAACCACACAGTGGTCCAAGGTCGCCAGAGACCTATTCAAAGTTCACCTTCTCCAAGAAATGAGACATTTGGTCCAAACAGTGGTGCAACCGGGAAGACTCCCTTTTGAAGCTAGCAATTTTCGACTTGATGAGTCCAGAACGAGCCTTTGAAGACTCACCTCTTGAGATGAAGCATCAGGGACCATTAATTCCTCATAACTAACCATAAATATAGTCATTAGGGAAGCCATTCTAAACAACCGAAAGACTGATTCTTCTAGCAAACCAAATTTTCCTGTTTTGGAAAGTTTAAGCATGTTGGCATAATCTTCAGTAGACACATAATCCTTTAGTTATGCCATAATCTTAGGTGTCTGACCAGCCATCATATGGGGCAACATGGGAAAATAATTCCATACACTTTTCGGTAGATGGATAATAGAAGTAGACACTGTAGCGGTAAAAATCGGAGATCAGGCTATTAATTAACTTGACTCACAAATAAGCAAAAGTCACCACCGCGCTTTATCATTTCCAAGGGAAAAGAGCGAAATAAAACCCTTAAATATGCAATGTAAAGTAATACTTAAAAAGTAATGAAAATACAATGCATTTTTGAAAGAGATTTAGAGTTTGGGGGCTGGTTATACAATGGGAAGATATTAGCACCCAATGCATCTGCGATACTCATGATGAACCTTTTGAAATATATGTTTTTTTTGTTAAAATTATTTGTTTGTTCAAAACGGGTGTGGACGAGATTTTTTGAAAATACGACGACTTAGTGTCGAAGTTTTGACTTAACAGGGGTGTGAGTTTTAAAATTGACTTTTTAGGAAAATTAACTTAAGTTTAGCAAAATAGTAAAACAAAAATGAATTAAGGTATTCACACAGTCGTATATGATATATTTGATGACATGAAGTCAACAAAGTGAAAACATCTCCCTTGAAATTGGTGTAAACAATTTAAATGATTAAATAATTAAATAAACAGAATAAAAAAAAGACAAAATTAAACTAACAAACTTTTTATAGCATTTTATGAGGACGAAGAAAGTAAAATAAAAAATAGAGATGTAACTAAAAAGTTATCTAAACTAAATTAAATTTAAAAGTTATATAAAAAAAATTAAAATTCTAAAAATTACTAAATTATATATAAACTAAATTAATTTTAAAGTTACTAAATTAGAATTCTTAAATTATTAAATTAAATCTAAACTAAATCAAAAATTCTAAATTTTTTCAAATGTTTTTAAACAAACTAAAAAATTCGAAATTTACTAAATTAAATCTAAGACAAATAAAAATTCTAAAAATTACCGACCAAATCTAAAATAAACAAAGTTCTAAAGTATAAACTAAATCTAAACTAAATCTAAACTAACTAAAAAATTTCTAAATTTACTAAGTAAAATCTACGTCAAATAAAAAATTATTAAATTAAATAAAAATTATAAAATTAAATCTAAATCAAATTAAAATTCTAAAGTTATTAAGTTAAATCTAAATTAAATTAAAATTTTAAAACTACTAAATTAAATATAAACCAAATAAAAATTATGGAACAAGACGTTGAACTCAGCTCTTTTTAATTACAACGTGCAGGCCTTGCCATTAAGTTATATCAATTATTTATTATTTTTATGTTTTTAATGAAATAGAAGGTAATGACGATAGAGTAATTGGACCAACAGGCCCATTGGGCCGACCCTGTTGGAAAAAGAAAAATAAACGTTTTCGGGAACCCTAAAGTAAGGGAAAGGCGCCGCTGTTGTTGTTTATTGGGAAGAAATCAAATCAAATTCATCATCTTCCTCAATCCACGATTCTCTGCAACAACACCTCTTCAATCTTCAACCTTCAACCTTCAACAATATCAACAGAAGAAACATCATCTTCGTTCATCCGATCTGAATCAAAGGAGCGCGATTGAGACCGAATCTTGATTCTGAAAACCTTTCCGCAGCATCCACCGTTACTATGGCAAAAAACAGGAACAAGAAGAAGAAAAACGGCGTCGCTTCAATGGACACAATCTACTCCATCGTTTCAGAAGCAGCTCAAGGTACTTTCGATTGAAATCAGCATGTATAAAACATGATTATTCTGCTTCTAATCTTATTTTTACATTGTAAAGTATTTTTCTCTTTTTTTGTTTATTTGTAGCTATGGACACATCAGAATCAGTAGCTAAAATCAAGGTTGCTGCTGCTCCCAATTTGTAAGTTTACTTTATTGCCCTCATAGATTCGATTATTTTGCATTGAGTCACAATTGAGAACACGGTAGACATATTCTAAAACCCTAGTTATGTAAAAGATGGGAAATTTGTTCAAGTTTGTTAGAGAGAACTCGTCTTATTCGAGTTCCATCATGTTTTAACTTTATGGCACCTCCAATATGAAGTGGAACAAACACATTTGACTTGCTTCTTCATTTCCATTTATTTGTAAAACATAATAATGATGAGTTCCTCTCAACTCGCACTTGTTAAAATTACTGTATGATTGTTACAATTGCATTGTAACTGCATTTTCACTTGCACACTTCTGCCCTTTTGGTTTGACTTGTTCTAAACTGCTACTTTTTATTATGAATCTCTTCTGTTACAGGAAGGTGAAGCAGAACGGAAGGAGTATGAAGAGATCAAAAAGCGCACGAAAAAAGAAGGCAATAGCAAAAGCTATTTCCGCAAATGAGAAGTCTGCTGAGAAAGTTTCCAAGAATGACAACAAAAAAAGTAGAATTCAATCTGCAAAAGCACTCTATGAATAAATAACTAGCTGAATGGCAAGCACCGAATACACTCTTTTTTGTATTTTAGTTTAGCCAAATTCAATTGTTTGTCTAAGCCAAGTGTTTTTTAAGATTGAAGCTTCTTATTTTGCTGCATCCTTATTCTTATAGTTCATTATTTACTAGTTGAAAAGAAAAATCATAGCAAGTATCCCAATTTTGAAGAAAACTTGGATTGAATGATCTCAAGATTATGTTAGCATTAGAAGTTAGCTACTTAGTTATTTGTTTGTTTGTGAAGTAACTACTGTCTTGTAAGATTTGATTATGCTGTGTGCGTCATCGAAGAATCTAATATTGTCTTGTGCTTGATTAAAGAATGAAGGCGTACAAAGGTAGAGGCTGTGTAGACCCTCAAAGTCCAATTATGGCAGGGGTTATAGGCGTGGTAGAGGCTGTGTAGACTGCTTCAAAAGTATATATTATGTGCGTAGTAATTAACAAATATAAAATGATCAAAGGAAAAAAAATACTAGAAATTATAGTGACTTGGTTTTAAATCCACTTTAATTCTAAAGGATTTTTAGTTTCACTAACACCACAATTTTTATTAGAGGATCAACTCACAACTTTCTTATACTCAATTTTTAACTAAAGTTCAACTTGCAATTTTTATAATATTATTTAACAAGAGAACAACATTCTTTTGATTTGTAATTATAGCTCAAACAAATTAACCAACAATTACATAAGCACAACTATTACTTAAGTGTTTCATTTTCAGCAAAATAATATTGAGAATCAAGTGTGAGGAAGGAGTCTCACATTGATTAGTAAAGGAAAGATAGAACACGCTTCCTCCTTCCTTCTATTAAGAGTGAATATATAGTGTGTCTTTCGCAAAAAGGTGTGTTTCAAAAGAATGTTCATTCCTTGAAATTGTCCCTAACAAATAATTCTAAGTGAATATGTATTTTTTATAAGAGAGTGAGTAAGAGAAGGAATAATATTCAGATTTATTGTGTTTTCAATTGAACACAAGTCCTTTTTATATAGTAAAAAAAATTGTCAAGAAACAAAAAATATTTCCGGCAAGATCCACATCATATTTGATTAAATTGTGACTGTAATCGATTATGACGTAGCAAAATAAGAAAGATTTCGTTGGATCAAAATCATAATCGATTAGAAAGTTTCCTTAATCAATTATTGGACAAGTTCGTACCATAATCAATAATAGGGCAGATTTTTATTTCATAATTGATTAACTAAGCATTATAATAAATTAAACTTCAGTTTCAAAAGGTTTCATCCAACGCAAGGTTTAAAAGAAGTTTTGAAATTTTTTTTTAAATGTGCATGCGATGCATTTTAGTTATTTAAAAGCATACACTTAATTTTATATTTGATCCTATGAAAAGATAAATAAATAGACAAAGTAAGGATCACTAGTGGGCTTTTTGCACATGGTTTTTTTTTTGGTGAAGTTTTTTATTTTTTTAATTATCTTTGAGTAGATCACAAAAAAACTTCTCGTTTATTGAATTCTTTCGTATTTCTTTATTTGCTTGATGATATTTATGATTTTGCTTTAATTCATTTTATCATCATAAAAACCAAGTGTATCAACATATTTTCTCTCTTTTATGATAACAACACATTTTTCTGGAAAATGATAAAAAAGAAGTTAAAATTAAAAGAATTGGGTGATTCACCCCTCTCATAGATAAATAGAGTATGTATTTGCGTCTTTAACATAATTAAAAAGTTGAAAATACATAAAGAGCATAAAATATCACATAGAATTATTAAGGATAATATGAGTGGGGTTGAATAAACCTTTTTCTTAAAACTGATTTCAAAAATTGTTTTCTTAAAATCAAAGTTTTTTCAAAAATGGGGTAGTAGAGTTTTATGAAATTTGTGTTGGATCGGTATCACGAATTGAACTATATTTAGATGATACAATGAAATATGAAAGAATGAGAATTCTAGTCAATCAATACAAATTCAATTTATACAAGGTGTCTAAATCGAATTTCATTAATCAATCAACCAATCTAATAATACAAGTTACAAACAAATATAATCACCAGAAAAACAAACCTAATGACTTAATCTATTTCGGACTTACGCTTACACATAAATCTCTATAAGTAAATAAAATATAGAAACATGCGATTCTACAAAAGTGATAACACCTAATTATGCAAAATTATAAAGAAAATTAAAGAGAGGAATAAAGAAGAATGCACCATTGTTTATGCTGGTTCATCACGTTCGTCCTCACTTTGAGTCTAATCCAGTCTCCAATAGAAAATTATTGAAATTTTTAGTCTTCCACTATTTTGACATTTTTATAACGTGTGTTTTATGCAATTAAGAAACCAGATAATACAGAAATTAAAACACAATTAAACAACTCCAATATGAATTTTTCCTTTTTTTGATATATACAACTCATTGGATTTCACAAGACCTTCACTTAGTCTTGAATGTCCACCTACTAAGATTCAAAATCTATTTCAAGCCTCCATTCCACAACGATCATCACTCAATCATATTAGTAAGTTGCCTGAGATCTTGGGCTATTTGAAGGAATATAACTCCCAACTTTTTTTAACAATCTTCACTCAGTTCCACCAAAGTCTTTAATGGAGAAGAAATCATTTTTCTGCTCTTCTTGGATCGTCAATCCTAGTTACACCACACACAACTTGATTATTGATTTGCACCTCAAAATTTCAAAAACATTAACAATAAATGAACCTCCTCTACAACAGATATTACTCTTCCTTAGAGTTGAGAAGCAACCAAAATATGATAATCTCTCTAGAGGTTGAAGATGAATTCAGATGCAATAAAAAATTGTGAAAATTGTTCTTTGAAAATTGGTTTCAAGGTTTTTGAAAATCTTTCAAACTTATGATTCACATATGCTAGAGTTTGAAAATATTGATTTATATATGTGCTAGAGATTAAAAACTAACAAATAAAAAGACCCTCAAGATTCGACTTAAAAGCAAAGATTATGATTTGAGTCCATTGAGAAAATGATTTGAAATAAGAACTTAAAAACTCAAGTTTTACACATTTGATTCGAGTTAGTGATTTGAGTTAAGGAATCTCATGATTCAAATCACTTCAAAAGAACTGAAGTCCAAACATTAATTCTAGATTTGAATCAAATAGGTTTATTGAGTGATTTGAATCAAACTCACTATTGATCCGAATTGAGAAAACTTGTGATTCGAATCTCTTTGGCAAAGGCAAATTCTGAGTTTCACAATTATGCCATGATATAAATCACGCATAACTTTGATTTGAATCACATTTCTAAAAATCATTTTTTTCAAGAAAAATGAAGTGTATGGTTGAATCAAAAGTTAATATGCGTTTCTTAGTCCACACTTTTGACTAATTGATTTAAACCACATTTCGCAATAACTTGAGACACAATGTTTTAGTTTATGCATGCAAAAAAACGATTTAGCGAATAACACTTAATTCTAAAAGATGCTCAGTGATCTAGTTGAGAGGATATTTAATGACAAAAGTAAAGTAAATGATAATAAACAATAACAAAACCAAAATCCTAGGACATCAGAGCAGCTTCAAGAATAACACATTTCACAAAGAGACGAGGGAAAAATAAAAGAAACAATAAAGCAGTTTATTCAATGTCTGATTGGTTTAAAATTCCTATTTTCAGTTATGAAAAAGAAGTTTTCCTTTGAAAGAGATTTAGTTAAAGTATTGGTTTCAAAAACACCTAAAAGTTGCAAGTGCTTGTAGTGCCAACGTGACCAAAAACTTACATAAGTAGTACACCATCAAAAGGTATATCTCCTTTATTTAATGGGTTCGACAATATCTTTAAACGAGATTTGTTTTGTTTTTGCTTATTCTTTATGACCAATTAGCATATTCTTTCACTGAATTTATGTGATTCATCTATTTTTTATTTATTTGTACTTTTAGATTGGAAATTAAGTAATTTTTTAGTTTAATTAGATAATTTAATTTGACATTTTTGAGTTTTTAAATTTATTTTGGAGATGATGAAGGTTTATGAAAATCATGGTGAACATGAAGGGGGAGAGAAGAGAAGAAGAATAAATTAAGAAAAAAAAGTTAATTGGTGATCTCCACTACAAGATTCAATATTTTTGCAGGATTAAATGATTTTCTTTTAATCAAAATAATCAAATGATTAAAATTAAAAATAATTATTGAAGTCTACGGTGGACCATCAACAATGTTGGTCAATTTGAAATTAACAAAAGTAAATTTAAGGGATTTAAAAGTAAACAAAAATCAAGATGAAACAAGTAATTAAGTTAAGAGAAATGATATTATTGTATCAAAACTTTACGGTACACCGAATTTTACTATTCATCAATTCGTTGAGCAGTAAAATATTATAATAATAAAATAATTTTTTTTAAATATAATTTATTTAAAATTTTTTTTAGATTAAAAAATATTAATATAAAATTGTGTGATTAATCAACTTCATAATTTTATAACCAATATTTTCTATTTTATTATCCAACTTTGTTTTATTATTAAAATTATTTTTAATACTTACAAGTTTATTAATCAACTTCGTTACTTTATTAACCAACTTTATTTTACTATTAAAAATTATCTTTAATATCTGAGTGTTTATCAACCAATTTTATATTGCATTAACTAATTTTTTATATTTCATTAATCAACTTTGTTTATTACTAAAAATTACTATTTATACACTTTATACACTGTTTATGAATATTATTCACAGCCAATGTTCATATATTGTTCACGTCATTGTTTATGTACCGTTCACATTATTGTTTATAAATATATGTTTTTATTTAAAAAAATACTATTTACCGTATAAATACAGTGAATAGTACATACCGTGTAAGTCTTTAGTGTAGGAATGAATGTAGCTATAACATTTCTCATAAGTTAAGGGGCAAAAGATACAATTAAGTTTACTTATTAATATTTATAATTATTGATAACCATGAATTTCTTTAATTTTGATAGACCCATATCTTATGTTGTGGTCGTTATTTTGCGGCTTCAACATGATTCAATTGTTATAGTTAGATGTTGGAGAATTTATCCTCGTGACCCCTTAAATTTAACTTGGCACCTCCCTAAATTTAAAAAAATTGCATTTTCTCGATTGTTGAATTTTAATCGGATTTTCATGGGATTTCATGTGTTATTATTGAAATTTTATGGGATTTCGTGTATTATTATTGGATTTTTGCATTTTTACTGGATTTTTCAAACAATATGTATTTTTACCGAATATTTTTTAAAAACCAGTGTCAAATTATTTTTTACCAGATTTGAACTATCGAATTTTTCAAATATACTACTAGATTTTTCAAAATCAAATGTTTGACGCTGAGGTGAGTTGTAAAAAATTTCGAAGATGCCTTTATGAAATTTTCTAATGTTTTGATTTCCAAAAATCTTAGATGCATCTCTAGAGTTTTTTAGTGCATTTTTTTGGAAATTTATTCTTAAACTCATTGTGTTTCATATGTATAAGTGTAATGCTTGTGTGGTTTACTTACAAGCATTATGGATGATAGGAAAGACTGGTTGAGGCGCGGCAGGATTGCATAACATGCATCGGTTCAGAGGGAAAATAGTCAACCATCACAGGCTCCTGTAACCTTTAGCCTGGTTGATATAGAGGCGTCAACTTCTGAGGCTCATGCATCTCTGCCCCCTTCTTCTCTTAGAAGACGGGTGTCACCTACTCATGCATCCATGCCTCCATCTTTCTGTAGACGACATATTTCACCTATTCAGACACCCGAGGCAGCAGAGGTACCTGAGTCACCAGAGGTACCTCAGACACTAGAGGTACCTGAGGCACCCCAATTACAAGAGAAAAAATGGCTCCATCCATAAAGTTACATGTTCTGACATCACCATGGTCGTTCATGTAGTGGGGATTAGATATCTTGGGTCCATTCTCCCTAGCGCCAGGGTAGATTAAATACTTGATCATAGCTTTTTACCAAATGGATCGAGGCAATAGAGGTACCTGAGTTACCAGAGGTACCTCGGGCACTAGAGGTACCTGAGGCACCCCAGACACAAGACGCACAATGGCACCATCCACAAAGTTACATGTTCTGACATCACCGTGGTCGTTCATGTAGTGGTATTATACATCTTGGGTCCATTCTTCTGGCGCCAGGGTAGATCAAATACTTGATCATAGTTTTTTACCAAATGGATCGAGGCAAAAACATTGATAAACATCACAACAAAAAATGTCCCAAAGTTCTTGAAAATAAAGGTACTTGCTAGCTTCAGGGTTCCTCGTGCCATCACCACAGATAATGGAATGCAATCAGAAGTGGCCATCCGAGTGCTACTTAGAGGCCTAAAGTGAATACTAGAAGAGGCCAATGGAAACTGACGAACTACCACACATTTTATGGAATTATCATACAACTTCTAGTTGACTACTGAGTAAACTCCTATCCTAATAACATAAAGTATTAAAGCGGTCATTCTAGTGGAAATTGAAGAAATCGGTTAAAGGATAGCTAACCCCTTGCTAGTGGAAGAAAATAACATATAAGTTAGGGAGGAGGTTGACCTTTTAGAAACGAAAAGGATTCTAGCCTCTTTCACCAGCGTCATCGTCAAAAAGACCATCATCAAGATAATTTCATGTAGGGGACTTTGTACCACAGAGAGATGGCATAGGAGAGAAGAATGCCCCAGATGGAAAGCTTGCGGAAAATTGGGAAGAACCATAGAGGGTGCAGACCAGTACCTGGAAATGGGCCTACTTCTTGGAATTACTTGCAGGAAAACTGATACCAAGGACTCAGATTGTCTCTAAATTAAAATAGTATTACAATAAAAAGGGCAATATATATACTTATTCCATTCTTTTCGTGTAAAAAATTGACATGTTGATAAATGCAATTACTATTTTATTATTGTTTATGACACATTATTTTCGGCCCTTCTCCCTTTTTTATGATACAAGTAGCGAGAAAGACTAAGCACATTTCTGCGCAGCTGGCACACCATCCCCCTTAGGAACTAGCCACTTCATGTGTGTAGGCGAAGAAGCCCAAAGACATCCACCTCAATCTAAGTCATAAATCAAGGGCATAAACAGGGATCCTACACTTGGCCGAGGACAAACCTCTGTGACACGGAGCAGTCATCTGACCATAATTGCAAAGTCATGCTCAGATTCGACGATCCCCGTCAAGGGGATAAACACCGAGAAGAAAATTACACATATACTAGTGAAAGGTAAACAAATCAAGTAAACATTGTAACTAACATAATTTAATTTACAAAGAGACATCCAATTACAACAAATTAGTTATTGTGACAAATTTAAAGGAGCCATGAAAGGCTCAGAGATCAGGAACAAGCAAATCTAGTTGACCCACAACATTCTTGAAGGTAACTTTTCCCAGTCTATCATTGAAAATATTCAACAGATGTTTGTTTAAATCATACCGCTCTTCTTGGAAAGCCTCCAACTTCTTAGAATGAGTGATTTTCTTTTCCTCGGGCTCCATCATGACCGACTGGGAAATAGAAGACGAAGCCTCCAACATAAACTTTGCTTCACGGGAACCTTTATTCCCCTCTTCAAGAAAACCTTTGAGTTCAACCACACAGTGGTCCAAGGTCGCCAGAGACCTATTCAAAGTTCACCTCCTCCAAGAAATGAGACATTTGGTCCAAACAGTGGTGCAACCGGGAAGACTCCCTTTTGAATCTAGCAATTTTCGACTTGATGAGTCCATAACGAGCCTTTGAAGACTCACCTCTTGAGATGAAGCATGAGGGACCATTATTTCCTCATAACTGACCATAAATATAGTCATTGGGGAAGCCATTCTAAACAACCGAAAGACTGACTCTTCTAGTAAACCAAATTTTCCTGTTTTGGAAAGTTTAAGCATGTTGGCGTAATCTTCAGTAGACACATAATCCTATAGCTCCGCCATAATCTTAGGTGTCTGACCAACCATCATAGGGGGCAACATGGGAAAATAATTCCATACACTTTCCGAAAGATGGATAATAGAAGTAGACACTGTAGCGGTAAAAATAGGAGATCAAGCTATTAATTAACTTGACTCGCAAATAAGCAAGAGTCGCCACCGCGCTTTATTATTTCTAAGGGAAAAGGGAAAAGAGCGAAATAAAACCCTTAATTATGCAATGTAAAGGAATACTTAAAAAGTAATGAAAATATAATACATTTTTGAAAGAGATCTAGAGTTCGGGGGTTGGTTATATAATGGAAAGGTATTAGCACTCAATGCATCTGCGGTACTCCGCAGGAACCTTTTGAAATATCTGTTTATTGGTTAAAATTATGTGTTTGGTCAAAACGGGTGTGGACGAGATTTTGAAAATACGACAACCTAGTGTGGAAGTTTTAACTTAATAGGGGTGTGAGTTTTAAAATTGACTTTTTAGGAAAATTATCTTAAGTTTAGCAAAATAGTAAAACAAAAATGAATTAGGTATTCGCACAATCGTATATGATATATTTGATGACATGAAGTCAACAAAGTGAAAACATCTCCCTTGAAACCGGTGTAAACAATTTAAATGATTAAATAATTAAATAAATAGAATAAAAGAAAGACAAAATTAAACTAACAAACTTTTTATAGCATTTTATGAGGACGAAGAAAGGAAAATGTAAAATAGAGATGTAACTAAAAAGTTATCTAAACTAAATTAAAATTTTAAAGTTATGTAAAAAAAATTAAAATTCTAAAAATTACTAAATTAAATATAAACTAAATTAATTTTAAAGTTACTAAATTAGAATTCTTAAATTATTAAATTAGACCTAAACTAAATCAAAAATTCTAAATTTGTCCAAATATTTCTAAACAAACTAAAAAATTCCAAGTTTACTAAATTAAATCTAAGACAAATAAAAATTCTAGAAATTACCGAACCAAATCTAAAATAAACAAAGTATTAAAGTCTAAACTAAATCTAAACTAACTAAAAATTTTCGAAGTTTACTAAATTAAACCTAAGTCAAATAAAAAATTCTAAAATTATTAAACTAAATCTAAATTAAATAAAAATTATAAAGTTATTAAATTAAATCTAAATCAAATTAAAATTCTAAAGTTATTAAGTTAAATAGAAATCAAATTACAATTCTAAAAGTCTAAAACTACTAAATTAAATATAAACCAAATAAAATTTAAACCAAATAAAATCAAAACCAAATAAAAATCATAAAATTCTACAATTACAAAATTAAATCTAAATCAAATAAAATTTTAAAGTTATTAATTATGATTCTAAAATAATTAAACGTTTTAAAGTTATAAAACAAATTTAAACTAATTAAAAAATTCTAAATTAATACTAAACTAAATTAATTATAAGATTTACCAATATTATTTTTTTAGGAAATAAGGCTAAAGAGCTAACAAAAATGAAATAGAAATGCTTTGGCAAAGTGTTGAACTCAGGTCTCTTTGATCGCAACATACAAGCCTTGCCATTAAGCTATATTATTTATCTATTATTTCTATGTTTTTAATGAAATAAAAGGTAATGAAGATAGAGTAATTGGATCAACAGGTCCATTGGGCAGACCCGGTTGGGAAAAGGAAAAGAAACATTTTTGGGAACCCTAAATTAAGGGAAAGGCGCCGCTGTTGTTGTTTATTGGGGAAGGGACAAATCAAATTCAATTATTATTACTGCCAGTAAAATCTATTCCCTATGCCTTATCGTGAAACAAACTAAAACACACTCTCTCTCTCTCTCTCTCTCTGAGTCAACTTCATCTTCCCTAACCTTCATCCTTATTGCAACCTTTTCATCATGCTTCTCATGAATTAAGTAAACAATCTCATTGTGGCGCAATAATTCAGCATTCATATTAGTTTCCACTTCAAGTGCCAATGATTCATATAGTTTCTTTCATCATCATCTTCCTCAATCCACGATTCTCTACAACAACACCTCTTCAATCTTCAACCAGAAGAAACATCATCTTTGTTCATCAGATCTGAATCGAAGGAGCGCCATACATTTTCTCTAATATGTAATCATCCTTTCTTTCTTCTACTTTGTTTTACTATTTAAACGTGTGCTTTAAACTGAGAGAGAGAGGTTGAAGAAAAATTGTGACTCAGAATAAGGCGACAAATCAGACGAACGCAGAAGAAGGAGAAGTCTAAGACAAAGACGCGATTGGGACCGAATCTTGGAGAAGAGAATGGCAGAGGAAAACAAATCGAATGATAAAGAAGAAGTGAAAAGATGATTGAGCAAAGGACATGTTGAGAGAAGGTGAGTTGTCACTGAGGTGGGACAGTGAGATGAGGGTGAAAAAAGGAAATCGTGGAATGTGCTGTGTGAGGAATTGTTCTTGATTTTGTGGAATTTACCAGGTGCAAAACCGTGTTATTTTTTTGTGAATTTCTGAAATTTCTGTTTGAAATCAAGTTTGTGAATTTAAAAATGGTTGTTATGACTTTTGTGCATTTTGATTGAATAATGAATGGCTCAGATTTCACAACAAAAATACGGTTCATATTCAACAACTTCAACAACAACGTCAACAACAGTATTACAAATTCGTGAGTATGAACACGAGACAAAAATCGCTATGTTCAATGAATACATATTATGTAGAGAAATAGGAAAGAAATGGAACCTGAATTTGGAGCAGAGACAAATAGAACCAAAGAGGATGTAATATGCTTCCCTACCGTTCTTTCTGAGTTTTTTCCTACTGTATTATTGTATTGTTTTCCCTACTTCCTTCCCTCATGGATTAAACAAATATTTCTTTACTGTCTTCTCCCCTTTTCTTCATATCAGTCATCCCTCTTATATAGGCAAGTGGAGTGAAATTGGGAGGGAAAATTATTAAGTTTGAACAGATTTGTGTGTCCTGTTTCACTACTTTCTTCTATAAATTTCTATCCTTCCTTTTTGATGCAATGTTTAACATGTTATGCTTACAGGGCAGCAGACTGTTTATAGCAGTTTTTGGACTATTAGAGCAGGGCTGTTTTTGTAGGAGGTTTTTGGCAGGTTTGTAGGTAGATTTGGAAGCAAAACAGTAGCAGGTTTGTGGGAAGATTTGCAGTAAGAAAGTAGCAGGTTTATGGGAAGATTTGCAGTAATAAAGTAACAAGTTTGTAGGTTTTAGGACAATTTGATGTAAAAGAGAGTTTGGGCAAATGACATGAAGACTTGTACCAAGATTGGAATAAGACTTAAGATTTCTTTTTTTGTAATTCTTTAAATTTCTTTTGTAAATGTATGGATGAATTTGATTTGAATGACGTAATGAAATTGTAATTTAATGGACTTGATAGAAATTGCAATGAATCTTTTCTTCCTTTTTTTTTTTAAAGTTTCCTTTAGATGTCGCATATGCGTGAACCTTGAACAAAACTTGATACTTGAATAGGTCATGAATGATGATGGTTGAATCTTTGAATGAATTTGAAGTCTCTTGAATGATTCTTGAATACAACTCTCTTTTGATCAAAGATGTTGTTAACTTTGAATCATGAGTGAAAATATTTATCTTTTGTGCTTGTATGAATCTTGAATGATATTGGAATAGAGTCTTGATCCATTCTTGAATAAACTTGAAATAATGCACCAAATTGGACCTTACATTCGGGTGAATGAATCATGGTACATGCCTTGCAATCTCGAATTAATTATGATACATGTCTCAAATTTACTCCCATGAATGAAGTTTGAATTTAGAAATGGACAATTGAATCATGGCTAGATTGAAAACCTTGAAAAAGGATGAATGTCTTTGAAACCTTGAATTAAATTGAATTTAATGACATCTTGTGTGCGGATCTTTAAATCATGGTAATTCACAATACAATCCAATAGCGCTTGAAAGAACAATAATTCCTTGAGAAATCCACTATCATTCAATAATCACCAAATGCTCAAACATAAGTGATTCGAATTGCGAATAATAAAGCGATCAATGAATTTCTAAACTCTCTCTCTTAGTTTCATGAATAATCTCCACGTAAGAATCAAGTATCTTGAGAAAATAGTTATGACATGAGTTGAACCTAGGAGTTAAGAACATTCTAAGTCAAGAAATGACCCATAACGATTCAATGACTTTTATGATCTTTTATGCATAATTAACTCCCGATCCTTAAAGAGAACTTGTAGACGACATCACTCATGACAATGTGCAAAAAGAATCGCCTCAAAGTGTCGAGAATCAAAGAAATTATAATCCTTGGAAGTTGGGTACAACGGTTTTGAGATTAGGTCAAATTCCACAAAATGACATCTAAAGTATTCATACTTTTGATGATCCTCCACACATAATCAGATCTTGACTGATAAAGAGGAGTTGGAGATGATGTCAAGGAGAGCTATACGCAAAAATAAATATTCAAAAATATTGAATAATGAAGAAGTTATGATCGTTTGAACTTGATCTTGAAAAAGTTGGCTTTTGGTCGAAGTGTGTTGTACCCCAAAATTTTCCCTTCCATTTTCTCAACATTTCTCATCACAAAACCCTTGGAGCTCAAGATCCAATTAGGGTTTCATCTGCTCAAGACTTCTCCTTGCACTGTGGACCCAAATTAGGGTTTGTGTTTGCACAAAGATGTTTTGACCAAAAATGCCTAAGATGACTTTCATGCTTCATATTGGACTCCCAAGTTTACCCATACCAAGTTTCAAGTCTTGATTCCAAGTTTTGCCCAGTCAATTGGACAATTGACCTAGAAATCAGCTGTATTGAGGAAAAAGTCAACTGTGGTCAATGGACAGTCAAATCTCATGAAAATTGACCCACATCAACATTATGAACTCACATGGACCATTTGATCAAGTTTGGATCACAATTCCACAAGAAATTTGATCAGATCATCAAAAGGGCAAAATGGTCATTTTTAGGGTTTTG